AAAAAAAAAAAATTTTTTTCTTAAGTTAAGGAAGTCAGACCCAAAAGGATCCATATTTTGAGTCCCACTTATATGACACTAATAAAGGCAAAACTATAGGAAGAAAAACATATTACTGATTCCAAAGGGCTGGGTGGTAAAGGATTATCTATAAAAAGGTACCATGGGGAAATTTTTAGGGCAATGAATTATTTTGTATGGAACTGTGGTATTAGATACCACATCCATGCATTTGTCAAAACCAACAACATCGTATGCCATAAAGTGAATTCACTGTCAAAAAAAAAAAAAAGAAGAAGAAGAAATCAATAAGGCTATACTAGTAAAGATGAAAAACCAACTGTGACCAAATAATTTACAAATCAGAACTCACAATGAAGAGAATGGAGAGGAAAGGAGCATCGGATTAAATGTAAAACTAAAGACAAAAAGAACTGTGTGCACATATGCACACACACACAACTAAGAGGCTGCCATACCACGCAGGGCCTTCTGGATCACTGTAAAAACTGAGTAAGATGGGAGCCTCTGGAGGGTTTTAAGCAGGAGTGCCGTGATCCGACTTACGTTTTGTATGGGACCATTCCATCTGCTGTGTTGAGAGTAAACTAATTTAGAAAGCTGTGATTTGGGGGAGAGGGTAGGGTTGGGGCCAAGTGGTGGCCTTGAAGATTATAGGGAGAGGTCAGATTCTGAATATATTTTAAAGGCAAAGCCAGTAAGAATTGCTAATGGACTGGATGAGAGATCTAAAAGAACGTTCAAGGATAACTCCCAAGTTTTTGGCCTGAGCACCAAAAGTCAGGGCTGCTGTTTACTAAGAGGAGGAGCAGAAAAAGCTTAGCTTATCTGCAGGTGTAGCAGATGCTGCTGGTGCCTCACCCACTTACTATTATGGCTTGATCTTAAATGTTCTCCCAAACCTCATGAGTTGAAGAGTTGGACCCCAACACAGCAGTCTTCAGGGCTTTTGGGAGGTGACTGGATCATGAGGGCTCCAACCTCAGGAATGAATTTATGGATTCATAGCTTAATGGAGGGGGACTTTGTTATAAAAACCTTCCCAGCTGCCATGTGATAAGCCGCTTTGTTCTA